CCCCAAAACCCCAAAACCCCAAAACCCCAAAACCCCAAAACCCCAAAACCCCTTTTTGTTTGCAGCTATTGAATTACGCCTTCAAGAGCTCCCGTCATAATTCTCTTAGGATCTCTACATATCAGCTAATTTCCCAAAAACCCTCCTGGAGGATACAAGAGTAGACAAACAAGTTATGGAAGGAATTTAAATAATTTTTGCAGCGGTGAGTTTCTTCATCTTCTTAGCCTCACAGAAGTCCTGACATACTTGCACGATTCTTACCTTCGATTTCCCAGGAAAGTGAGACAAGATGGCTTCATAGTCCAGGTTTTTGTAGCTCTTCTTTTTGATTAACTTTCTTAAAAGGATTTCTTCCCTTGCGGAGAAATTATCGGAGATGGATTTTTGAATTCTTTCAAGCAACTTCGCGTTGGTCGTCTTCCAACCTATCGAGTCGCTTAATTGGATTATGTTGATGTTGTCTTTTGCTTCTGCCAATGGAATATTCTTTAGAATTTCCAGAGTGTAGACACCATGAGAAATATCTCTTCTTATAGTCTTCCATAATATTTTGTCTTCCTTTTTACCCCATCTCTTTTTCACTTCATTTGGCGAAGCCTCATTTTCGATCTTCTCTTGCCCAATTTGGGATTCATCACATACTTCCTTTGGATGAATAGCTTCTATATTTTTGACCTGACAACTTTGGGTGGCTTCATTCGTCTCGTTATCAGTACTCTCCATGGATATTTCAAAGTTTATTAAATCTGTATCCTTGCTTTCCTCTAAGAATCCTGGCTTAACACCATTTTGATTCATAAAGTCATTGACATTATTCTCCATATTTACCAAAAGGCCATCGCTCGAGGCGAGATCTTCTTCAAAATTTGTAATACTCCATCTTGGCTTATCGTCGATGGCTATAGATACGAGTAAGTCCCATGAAGCCTATTAGCTTAAATTTAAGTGGCTGGGCTCTCCAACCATGGAGTAATGGACGAAGGGAGTACGAGGAACTTAGCCATTTTCGCCCAATTTTCGGAAAAAATTCTCAGAAAAATTTTTTCATTGCTGATTTCGCAATGAGGAGGGCCAGATTAGGAAAAGCTGTTACCTTTCGGCTCGATCAGAGACAAATCAATTTCGGCCTCCTCAAGGAGTGGTATCATAAGACTCATTTCACAATTAATATTTATTAATGAAGCTGTAGTTCAGTGCATAAATACTCTTCAGGGGTTTTGGGGTTTTGGGGTTTTGGGGTTTTGGGGTTTTGGGGTTTTGGGGTTTTGGGG